GGATATGATTGATATATGCATGCGCAGAGTAAAATCTTGAGTCCCTAGTCGATGTAGGTATTCATCAAATAGTACAGAATAATTTAATGACATGGGGGAATCCCAACTTCCAGTATAATATGGACAATAGTGATCAACCAATATCCACTGATGATCTAAAAACAACTTCATTACTCGGTTGACAGTAATGGCAAACCCAATCCTACATAATAGAGGTTGTTTGACCTTGTTTTCGCAACATAGTCATATTGGTAGGAAGACTTAGAGGAACGCACCTAGTCCGGAGTCCATTGTATGCATAATACTTTTCAAAAGTCGGACCCTGGACGTGGTACATTCCCGAACGTTTCGGCGGCATCATAGTCGGCCACGTGAGTGAGTCTCAGAATCCTTAGCACTATACTACAACTCGTCAAAGAGACAAGTAAGCCTATCCTTTTACCAAACGTGTTCTAAACCGTTGTGGTATCCCCCCTTCTGACCTGGGCTACAAAGGACTCGGGATTAGGTGCGTTCCTCTAAGTCTTCATACCAATATGACCAAGTTGCGAAAGCAACTCAAACAACCTCTATACAATGAAAGGAGAATGCAACCACAAAAAAGGCCACACCATCTTGGTCTTCATACTTTCGATTAAAATATGAAAGTAAGATTGCCAAACAATGCACTGATTACAGCCGGACAAAGAAAACAATTGTAAGTCAATCCTGCTTTTTTGCCTTTTTGAAACAAACATTGTGGAATCGCTCCTCGATTCTGTAATCTAATGAGGGAGTGTCATTCGGACACAGTTAATGAAATACTTTCTCACGCCTCCATCCAGAAATTAGAGGAAGGTTACGAGACTGAGGAGCGTAAGCTATTTAAGTTCATAGATCTTAAGTCTAGATTAAGGAAGGATTTAGGTAGGGTTCTTACTTTGCATGATTTAAAAAAAAACTCCAGAGCATGACCGACTAGAAGTCGCAAAGGGTCCGGAATCTGATAAATAAGCGGCATGACAAGAAATTGCTTAGCCATGTGATAATAAGATAGCTCAAAGCCAAGCCAACCCGGACAAATTTTGATAGTCCTTTATTGAAGGCATTAACTGCTACAGACGACGATAGGACTAAGGTAGTAAACCTATCTTCAATCCCTCTGGATTTTGAAACTACGTGTCTCTTAAAGAAAGGATTACATTTTTCACTAGGTAATGAAGGAAACGTTCTTAGTGATATTCTAATGGAAGTAGTCAACATAACGGATAAATATCCAGAAGAGACAAGGTGGGAGATGGAACTGGAAATAATCCCACGGATCTGGACACATCAAGAACCGATACACAGGAGTAGATTGGCTGGTATTCGAAAAAAATTACAAAAGAATGATCAAATAGTTCTTCAGGCGGATAAGGAAGGGGCGACGGTTGTAATGGACAAGAAACAATACACGGAGAAAATTGAAAGTATCCTTGGCGACTGGAACACTTG